GCGGTCAAAAGCGGCGATTACCAGCCTGCTTGCGATTAATCGACAAGTCTGGACCAGCCTGCTTACACTCTCTACGGCAGCAAAGCAAGCAAGTGGAAGCCGCTCCATTTGTTGCTCTCGGCCAAAGGGAGTGCCATCGGGCTCATTTTGATCGACGCACCCCTCTACCACGTCAGCTGCTTGCTTGGGGGCGATTTCGGGCCGACTGCGAAGTGAAAGGCCCGCTGTCATCACCCCTCTACAAGCAAGCATGACCATTATTCAAGCAACCAGGACCATTATTCGATGCGGACGAGGGCATTTCAGACGTGATACATGGCCATTATTGATGCCTCTCTACTACGTCAGCTGCTTGTTTAGCCGTGGGTGGCCTTGCGATGATGCAGCAAAGCGTTCCCCATTGAGGTAATTTGGGATCGTGAGGGTAATAATGGATTCCACGTGGTATTGATTGAACGGGGATCTTTGGCTTCCTTCCGCACATCAATCCGCCAAGTGATTAAATGGCAAAACAAAAGGGATTCAACAAGTGTTACGTGGAGTGTATTGCCATGATAAGAGTTCGGGTTAGCTGTGGTACAAACTCATGGAAATGGAAATCCAATGAGAAGTAGCGGGGACGTTGATCCACCCTTAACGATGGCTGAGGTTCATCATCGGATTACTGAGGTGAGTGTAAAGGGGGTAAATTCTACGCCTTACGTATTCTTTTAAGTATTATGATTTTGAGTATTTTAGCGAATTGGTTACCGTTGCTTGGTTATGTGTATGATTGATTATTTGTGCTATTTGATGTGATTTGAGGTGATTTTGTGCTATTTACCTTAAAGCGTTATGTTTAATTAATTGTTAAAGTTTAAGAAACAAGTTCTTTTTAAGAAGTAATTCAGCTTCAAGAAGGTGAAGTCATTTTAAGTGTTTGTAGTCGGTAGCGCAAGTCCTTTGCCATTTGAGATTTTCAAATAGAGCAGCAGTTATGCTCTTGAGATATTAAGTTGAGCAGCAGTTATGCTCTTGAGATTTTTAATAAGAGCAGTAGTTATGCTCTTGAGAATCGTGAGAGAAGAGCCTTCCATGATAAGTTTAAGTTTAAGGAAAGCCTTGATGGCTTCTCATACGTATGAGTTGGCAACCGGACTAGCTAGTGAGGGATCCCCGTGTCGGTCAAGTATTTAAGTCAAGCTTTGAGATTTAAGAATGGAGAGTAACAGTAACTCCCATATAGTTTTAAGAGTGGAAGTACAAACAACTTCCACCAATGTAAGTAAGTGTTTTAAGTAAAGTGCTAGGTATTAATAAGATGTTAAACGTAAGGGCGTAGACTGACCCCACTCACTCACCAGTTTGACGAGCTAGAGAAGGAGCTAGAGGAGTAGTTAGTGAGCAGCAAGTTCGAGGGCAGCCAACTAGAGAAAGGGCAGTGTAAGCGTCACAGAGGATGCCTAGTTAAGATTTTCAGTAGCAGCAACGACAGAGACTACCTAGTTATTTGCATTTTATGATTATAAGTATAGTCTGGAGATCAGATTGAGATTTTAAAGTGTGAGCATAATTTGCCCACGTGTTAGGGCTTTGCTTTGAACTACAAGTGTGTGATTTTAGTATTTTATTTACGGAAATTTTTCCTACTGCAATTTAAGATTTGAGTATTTTATTTATCAAGGGCATTTTAATAAAAGTAGTACCCGGCCGGGTTAGGGTGTTACATTTTGGTATCAGAGTCGGTCTTCCTCTGTTCCTTGGTCTCCAAGGAATATTGGAATGTCGGTCTCCGTTTTAAAGGATTTTGTTTTAAAGAAAAGGAAAATGAGTCAAGGATCTTTAAGTGTTTATAGAATCTCCAGTCTACTCTAATCATATTAAGATGAATAACTATGACAGCACGGCATGACAAGATGATTACATGAGGGTGCAATTGGTTTAAGAATAAGCTAGTACGTGAGCTAAGTTAAGACGTCGTGGGACATAAAATAAGAGATCGGGGCGGATAGCGATCATCAGTATGAAAGGAAGGAAGTAAGAAATGTGGCCAACTCAAGTAGAATCTCAAGATATGAGGCAACAGAGGTGGAGTCTGTGAATGAGGTCAAACTAAGAACGATTACAAAGGCTCTCAAGATCAAGTTTCTCGTCGACATGATGGATATTATTTGTGAATTAGCTAACCAACTACCAAAGGACGAGGTACAATCATCAGCTTCCAGTAGCTATAATAATAGGAGGATGTCAGGGTCTTTGGTCCTAAGCAATGGAAAGTGGGCAACGAGTCAACAACCAAATAGGTACCCCTGGAAGGCATACAAATGGTTTTAGTGGACGACACGGTTACGACGCAATGACAAGAAGCAATGGAAAATTTAGGCTCTAAGCAGTGCTAGGTCGCATAAAGGAAGCAAAGGAGGAAACAAGTGGGTCATTGGAAGTTTAATAAGAATGCAAGGAGTCAATAGTTCAAGGCTAGGAGGAAGAAGGGCCATTTATCAATACCGACAAAGGAAGCCCTATATAGATACTATGTCCTTAAAGAAGACGGTCCATGAACTTGGGGAATTAGCTGATAGCAAGCCTTTAAAAGGAACAAGACAAGCGTCAAGATAATTTAGGTAGAGGACGAGCTTGGATCAAGAATAACAATGTTCTAGTGAACAACGTCGAGCTAGAAAGAGGATGGATTGGGATATGAGATACCCTACAAACTACGCAGATTACGAAAGGTCAGGAGGTTGTTAGGACTGTTGAAAGGGGAATGCCAGAGTTCAGGATGACCTGTTATGTGGTTGTCCTATCCTAAAAAGAGGTAGAAACTAGCCACCTAGGGTACATGAGGGGTGACAGAAGGAGGAACCTCTGTAGTAAGTTGGAACTAGCTATAGGAGTAAGTCATTCAACCAACCAAGTATAGATAAGCAAGTAGAACATTCATTGGAAGTTCTAATAAATTTTAGAGAATTTGAGGAGGAATCTCAACAGTCGTGACAAAGAAAATTGGCGTACAATACTAGGAAAAAGCAAGAAGGCTAGAGGAAGTTTGACGAGATTTCAAGAAGTCAATTGGTGAAGAAGTCAATTGGTAAGCAATCTAGTAGTAGTAGTAGTACTGGACTTCGGTTAGCCGTCTCTAAGGCCATAACTGTGAAGTGGCATTTCTCATGCCGTAGAGAGTTTGAAGTCGAGGAAGGACATGAAATTTCCTGATAAAGGATCGGGAAAATGTGTAAGTGGCTCGAGTGCAAAGAGTGTACATGGAGGGAAATAGTTAGGAGGGGTCAAAGCAGAAATACAGAAGACATCAAGAAAGGATTAGGTTGACTACCAGCGGACAAAAATTGATCCTCGGGAAGTCCATTGCAAAATTTTGGTCAACTTTAAGGTGGAATCATGGTCAGGTGAAAGTACATAAGTGAAAAGAGGACTACATCGAGAACAAGGGACAGCTAGAACTAGCGAGGAACCTCAAGAAGGGTCGTGGTTAAAGAAGTAGTAGGGATATAGTTTAGGGAACCTGCTAGGATACCCCAAAGTGAAACAAAATCACCTATGCTGGTGAAAGGTGTCAATCTCTCGGGTAAGACTCTATTGGACTGGTAAACTGTACGAGGACTTTCAGCTAGGGTCTAAGAGTAGCAAAATGGATAGTACGAGAGTTTCAAATTCAGGCAGCGATAAGGAAGTGCTAAGTTAGGCGCCAGGAGTGAACAAGTAAGCCAAGGGGAAGGTCATGACTCTTGAAGGGAGTCATAAAGTTGTTAGCACGCTAGAGAAAGATGCAAAGGATGCCTTTAATGCATACAGGAAGTAAAATCAGTAGTATGAGGTTTCGAGGTTAAGCAGAAGTAACGAGGAGATGACCATTAAGTTTATGGTTAAAGGATAAGACAAGGCATCAAAGAAGAAAGTAAGAGATGCAAAGTTAGGAGATACAAGGACCTAGGTGACCTATGAGGTCAACTCCAGACTAAAGTTACGGTAAAAGAGTTTTAACATCTGACTAGATAGAGGATAAGTCGCCATATGTAACCTTGGGGTTCGAGAGAAGCATTAACGTCTCATATACCGAATAATGGATAGTTATTGTTCCGACATATGTCCAAGGTGCAGCCTAAATGATGAGAGGAGTTAATAAGCCACAACAACATTGAAGTTGCAGGGAATGGAGAGAAGGATTTTAGGTCATCTCGAGTGAAAAGGATTACCACAAGCGATGCTTAGGGTAATCACAGTGGACAAATTTCGAGGGCGAAATTTCTATAGGTGGGGAGGATATGTGATATCTAGATTTTGGATTTGGGTTCAACAACAACTACCAGGTGAATTGGATCAACATGTCCAGTTAAGTCGACATTTTGTTCATCACTTTTGAATCAACTTGTGCAACGAAAAGGGCAATGAGTCACTCAAGGTTACACGAATGCTACAAGCTAAGAAAATGTATATGATCAAAGGTTACCAACGAAGTTGTCATGTTAAGAATAAATGATCGTGGGAAGGAAGAATAAGAAGGGTGTTGACGGGAGGATGAATTCCGAGCAAATTTCGGGGGCGAAATTTTTTGTAAGGGTGGAGGAAATGTTACACCACGCTCTTTACAAAAGTTGAAATGACTATTATGCCCTCAATGTAATTTGTCAAATTACATCGTAATATCGATGAGGACTAAAAGTATGGACTCTCGATACAAACGGGTGTTGAGTTTCGACATAAAATGAGGAAGTTATAGACATTAAATAGGTTTCGGATTAAACTCACTCGATACCAACTAATCGGAAAATTCCCAAAACACCCCATGGTTTTATCCAAAATTTCCCTCTCGGCCTCTTTCACCACAGAGCATAAAATTAATCTAAAACCCTAGTTCCCAAAACCGCAGCAAACCCTACCTCTCCTTCGCCCAGGACCCGCTCAACCCTCTTTATACTATGACACCTACTTGGTTCGAAGCGGCTCTCTACTATGTTCATGAGGCGGCCAACCCCCTTTCCCTACTGCTAGACCTGCTTGCTTTAAGCAAGTAGGAGGGCGATAAAGCAAGCAGGAGGGAGGCTCTCGAAGCGGTCAATAGCGGCGATTATCAGCCTGCTTGCGATTAATGGACAAGCCTGGACCAGCCTGCTTGCACTCTTCACGGAAGCAAAGCAAGCAAGCGGCAACCGCTCCATTCGTTGATCTCGGTCAGAGGGAGTGCCACCGGGCTTATTTTGATCAACGCACCCCTCTACCACGTCAGCTGCTTGCTTAGGGGCGATTTCGGGCCGACTGCGAAGTGAAAGGCGCGCTGTCATCACCCCTCTACAAGCAAGCAGGACCATTATTCAAGCAACCAGGACCATTATTCGATGCGGACGAGGGCGTTTCAGACGTGATGCGTGGCCATTATTGATGCCTCTCTACTACGTCAGCTGCTTGTTTAGCCGTGGGTGGCCTTGCGATGATGCAGCAAAGCGTTCCCCATTGAGGTAATTTGGGATCGTGAGGGTAATAATGGATTCCACGCGGTATTGATTGAAGGGGGATCTCTGGCTTCCTTTCGCACATCAATCCGCCAAGTGATTAAATGGCAAAACAAAAGGGATTCCAACAAGGGTTACGTGGAGTGTATTGCCATGATAAGAGTTCGGGTTAGCTGTGGTACAAACTCATAGAAATGGAAATCTAATGAGAAGTAGCGGCGACGTTGATCCACCCTTAACGATGGCTGAAGTTCATCATCGGATTACTGAGGTGAGTGTAAAGGGGGTAAATTCTACGCCTTACGCATTCTTTTAAGTATTATGATTTTAAGTATTTTAGCGAATTGGTTACCGTTGCTTGGTTATGTGTATGATTGATTATTTGTGCTCTTTGATGTTATTTGAGGTGATTTTGTGCTATTTACCTTAAAGCGTTATGTTTAATTTATTGTTAAAGTTTAAGAAACAAGTTCTTTTTAAGAAGTAATTCACCTTCAAGAAGGTGAAGTCATTTTAAGTGTTTATAGTCGCTAGTGCCAGTCCGTTGCCATTTGATATTTTCAGATAGAGCAACAGTTATGCTCTTGAGATATTAAGTTGAGAAGCAGTTATGCTCTTGAGATTTTTAAGATGAGCAGCAGTTATGCTATTGAGATTATTAAGTTGAGCAGCAGTTATGCCCTCACTAGCTAGTCCGGTTGCCAACTCATACGTATGAGAAGCCCTCCAGGCTTTCCTTAAACTTAAACTTATCGTGGAAGGCTCTTCTTCTACGATTCTCAAGAGCATATCTGATGCTCATCTTAAATGTCTTTAGAGCATAACTGCTGCTCATCTCAAAGATCATAAGAGCATAACTGCTGCTCTATCTCAAAGATCTCAAATGGCAATGGACTGACGCTAGTGACTAAAAACACGCAAAACGATTCCACCTTCGTGGAAGGTGAAGTACTTCTTGAAAAGAAACTTCTTTCTTAACTTTAACTATCACTCATAAATGTAAAGCTTTAAAGTAAATAAGAACTTATACATATTCGTTTCAATCAAATCTCAAATCATTCACAATCACCAATCCTAAGCACAATCAAACCATGACAATAACTTCATCAAAATATTTAAAGCTCGTAATACTTGAAAAAAACACTTAACGCGTAGAATTTACACCATTTACACTCAACTCATATCCATCAAAACTGACTCTGATTCTTCTCTAAAATTTTCATACTTGCTTCCAAATTATCCTCCTTATTTCTATGATTCCATAGGCGCTGACGGTTCTTCGTTTGGACGTCAAACGAACAAGTTATGGCCAAAATAAACATTCTGTCAATTTTCAAAGTTTCAGGTACCGGAACAGAAACTTTTCCCGTCGTTGACCACCACCTCTCTTGAAAAATTATAGAACTACTCATCAATTTTTTTTTAAATATCAAGAATAGTACCTGAACTTGATAGATTTTTGTCTAAACTATCGAGGCTCCATTCACCTTCGTCCGACCTTGGAATTTGATTTCCTCGAGACCGAGATGCTTCCAGGATTGTCCTGTTCGTCATGGTAACCAAAATTTCCTTGATTTTCATCTTCATTATATCAATCAGGCCCTCTCTCTCTCTTGGTAGGCCACTCTTCTTATAAAGATCGTACACGACTGTTGAGAGCACTGGCGGCGAGGGAATGGAGGGAGGTGGTTGCGTCCCTTCCCTCGTCTGGTGGTTGCTCCCCGCAAGCAGGAAACTTTCGCTATGCCCCGCAAGCGGGGATCTCTTGTTTTGTCTGTCTCTTGGTTGCTTAAGTCTCATAGTAGAGATCCCTTGTCGTGGTTGCCATTCCCTGTTTCACCTCCCTGCCTGCTTGTTGATATGAGCACGGATCATGTACCTGTAGTTATCAAAGTACGTAGCTCCAAGAACGAACAATAGATAGACTGTTTAGGTTTTTTTGTTTGTTTGGGATATGATGGAATTGAAAGTTCAATCTCAACACAAATCGAGAGAAGGCTCAATCAATATAGAAAGGTAGAATCTCGACCACAATCAAGGGGAAAACTTGATTGATAGTGAGGTAAGTTCAAGCCTCAAGCTCAAAACCAAGGTAAAAATCAATATTCTGCTAAAAAATAACCCTAAAACCCGAGGTCCAGCCTTTATATAGGTCTGGACAATTAAAAATAACAAAAACAACTTAAAACCCGAATTCCCGTCACACAAGTCAAAATACCCGGTCAGCCCTAAAAATACCCGGTCGGGTATTTATCCTCCACGACCGGGGGCCCTTCTGCCCAAAAGAGACATGCCACTGCCAAAATACCCGGTCGGGTATTTGGCTTCTTAGAAGCCTTACTATTCAAGATCCCTAAGGTGTTGCAGATCCAGAGAACAACATTGAGTTCAGACTCGGAGGAGAACATTTCTAGATTTCGATCCGGGAGTTCACTCGAGCTTTAGATATATATCCGGTGGACTTTTTGGACTCATTGGACGACTTTACCACCTTGAATAGAGAAAGTGATTTTCCATCCTTCAAAGCTTTTACGAATCTGATGTCAAGGAGCCCGGCAACCAGCTATGGGATGTCAAGTTATCAAAGGCTAGTGAATTGAAGACATAATGGAGGTTGATCAACCACGTGATTGCTATGTCCGTGGGTGGAAAGTACAAGATTAAATTTAATCTGACTGCCCGAGATGTCACATTCCTTCAAAGCATGAATACTCCCGGGCTTTACACATTGGTTTAGCGATTCTATCCACATTGAAGATATTTGAAAAGATGATTGACTTGCCGCGTGACATGGCAGAGCATATATCACTCGACTCGCTTGTTACTTTGTAGTAGACTTTTGGGCGGTTTAATTTTGAATGGATTCTAGGACAACTTTCATCTCCTTAAAACACTTAAAATTAATTATTAAGGTCTTGCTCCTAAGCGAGGATTGTATATGGAGACTCCAAGGCTTTCCCTTCTCACTCGCGGACACATTGGATATGAAAGATATGATGTTCTGTGTATCGGTGCCAACCAACCGACGTGTAACGAGAGATTCAATGGACGCGGATGGCGTGGATGGACAAAAGGAAGGCGTGCAAGATGAGGAGGTTACACATCAACCGACCTACCACCCAAAAACTTCAAAGATCAATAGAGCAAGAGATTAACCCACCCAAGAGTTGATAGCGACAATCCTTCGACATAAAAAAGGGAGAAGGAAGCTAGGCAACACCTATGGCGTGCATTCATGCAATTATGGAGAAGATGGAGATCCCTTTAGTGGATGTCTCCCCACCATTTGTTCCTCACCTTCCCCTGAACCATTTGAAGCCGGCGTTGAAGAGGAATCCTCTGAGGAGGATTAAGTTCTATTCATCTAGGGCCTACTATTCTATCTTTTATTTCTTCGCTTTTCTTTCATTTGACTTTCAACAACGTCTATTTTTCTATGATTTTTATTTCCGCACCTCGTGCTTTTTATGACATAGTAGCAGTATTAAATGTACATGTCTATTTATCTATGTTAATTTGTGTCCATAACCTTCAAATTTCTCTTTTGCTTATGGGCTTTATCGATCTCTATCAACCAGTAAGACCAAGACCTACATTTGTGCACCTACAACAACCAACCAATACCCACTATGGTAACTGTTTCATGAACCTACCTTTATTCTCCCATATTGAATACAATGTTTCTCTTAAGTGTGTGTGTCGGGGGGGATTTGTATGCATGTTTGAATGATTCATGATAATTTTTACATAGTTGACAGTAGCTTCCCTATGATTATGAATGTAAGACGTTGATGATTGTGTTTGGGAGTGTTTACTATCGACGAGTTGTGTTTTGTGGTGTTGAATGACTTAGAATTTGTGTTGGGAACCTTGATGACATACCCAAAAAATTTCAAATTTGAGGGTTCCAAACATCTTGTCCTTAGCATCTACATCCTCAATGTGATATGAATTGCAAGATAATCTATATGGTGTGTTGATAGGAGTAGTTTGCATTAACAAGAGTTGTCGATGTATGAGGGGTTTTACTCCTATCTTTATCTTTGGTGATTTGATAATGTTTGCTACTTAGGAAAATGCATGTGTGTGGGACTTTCTACTTATTTTGGACTAAATGCGCTCAACTTTGAAAAAAAAAAATCTTTTGAAAATTGATGTTCTCACGTAAGAGGCAATCAGGGCATAATGTTAAAGTTGAGCCGTCAAAGGGCTCTACTCTCCGTATGGAGTGCCATTTGAGAATGTGTTTGGAGTTCGGATAGCTTTAACGCGTCCCGATCATCTTTTACTACCGTCCATCCGGCAAACACCTCTCCTCCTCGCAAACTTGTATGGAGAGGAGATAGTGTGTCTTTAATCAACTTACGAGACCTTGACTCCTGTTTGAACCCGACATGTGTGGAAATCCATCTGTTACATGGATAGTAGGCTGGGAACTGGTGCTCGCGAAATGAATCAGACCATCACTTCAATCTCCTCTATCCAATCTCGAAAGGCAAGCAGACTAGAAGTATTAATCCCTCCGTTAGATGCTTCCATGGGTTTCAATGTAGTATTCAAATCACCACTTTATCATCCATGGAAAACCACTAACCTTCCATTTCAATAAAGTGGAATAAGTTGCCAACCTTTCACAGTAAGAAAAAACTGCTTTGTTGCTAATAGAGAAACAAGTGTGCATGGAATGGATGACATTTGAGGCTTTAGTTAAGACTCGCACCTGCAAGGCTGCAACCCTGTTTGCCAAGCTAACCACACTCTGCCAAGATTATTATTAATTAATTAATGGTGCAAGCAGCCGACATTATTCCTTACGAAATTTCCGTTAATTA